GGACAAAACTAAGAAGAACATTTTTTCTTGTGAAGATATAATGTTTCGTTCATCTTCACTGCTGAAAAATTCATGATATTTCACTTGTAAACTATAATAAATGCCGATACCGTAGGGTTTACCATCATATTTTTGTGGACAGTATGCGGCCTCAATTTCCCAGCAGGCTTTCACGCAAGGGGAAGCACCGGATGTGGACAAAGTGTTTACATATCAAACAAACCCGGCGGCGCCTTGCGCCGCTTGGGTGTTTGAAAAAAATAAAGGCAATGTGTAGTAAGGGGAAGCAACTCTGTTTACGCACGCATGTGTTACTATTAAAGAGCTTCGCTCGGGCGCCTTGACGCGTGTTAACGATGAAGTCACAGTCGCGTCAAAACATGTTGTGGAAACAATTTTCAGTTCGAAAAAAAATGAAAATATCAAATAATATCATTATGTAGGACATCGAAGGATTTCATCACTAGCTTTGAATTGTAAAAAAATGGAGGATTGTTTCTGAATATAAAAAATCTGCCGGAGATACGAGAAAAATACAAGGTATTCATTGAAAATATCAAATTAGTTGTTTGTGCAAAAAAAGACAACATCAATGCAGGCACGGAGCAACGCATATTGCCGTTTTTTTCGAGCCTGTACGACCGGAAAGACGAACGTTTTTGAAGCCTTTATATATAGCATAGAATCAATTCACTCTCATTTTCCCGTACTTTCCGTACAAATGTTACTAAAACGGCTCGCACTGCTCGGCAGATCGCGAGACTGCCCGCTATCAAGAATGTCATAGGCAGCAACATGCCACCAAAAACAACGCAATTCGGTAGAGTCGATGTCAGATGTTTTGCTGATAATGGGAGAATTCCGTGGACACATTGCAGCGTAACAGATCGCCCGTCTTACCGATGCACCGCCAAAAAAACAGACGAACATTAAACAGTGCTTAAATTACAGTGTACAGCGTACACAGGACAGGAAAACGTTGTTATGAGTGTGACGAGACTGGGCATATTCGACGTAACTGTCGCTCTCTCTAGATCTATGAGCGCGATGAGGAGTATGACAACTATTGGGAGTATACTCAAGAAATATAAATGGGTCAACCGTATGAACAGGAAACCGATCAAGTTGAAGTGGGGGAGGACAAAGTAGACGAAACTACATACAACGCAGTGGGTGTCGTATTAGGCGTGTACAATGTCCAAAAGTACAGTTTCGAGGACAGCTTGGAAGTGGTAACGCGAAAAAACCCCGACGCTGGCAAGATATTTGAAGATTTCATAAAAGCCTGTCAACGAAGTCTAGCCAGCGTGTCTCGGGTCTGTAGCATGTTAACGCAAAAAAAGGGAACAGCACGCGATGGCGATGGCTCAACTATTTATAACCTGTTTGACCAAAATGATTTGACCGGAATCCACGTCAACTCTTCTGGTGCAAGATGGTTGTCGGAATCGTTTGAGGACTTATTCCTACAAAAGCCACGAAACTAGGATATCACCAACGTGAAGAAGAGACAAAGGGGGAAGTAGTTCTACATCCAATCCAGTAAAATGGCAAACCGTTGATTGTATATCATTAGTCAGTAAATAAGAAGTAACATTGATTGAGAGACCAGGTAAAGCTTACCTGTATTTAAGATTTGATCGTCTTCTATCTTGTTTACTAAATTATGAATATTGCATAAATTAATGTTAATTATTTGCGACATAATAAGAAAAGACATGAACTATTTCATTGGATAAGTACTCAACAACTAGATGGTGTATGTATTCAGGAAGCGCATTGTGATGAAAGTGAATTACATAACTAGAAAAAAAAATGAACGGAAAGAATTAAGCGGTGGAAATAGTTGGAATAATGGTCTTAAAAATGCAGGAGGTACAAGATTTCGGTTTGGGAAAAAATCAAATGTTCAATAAGAATTATTATATGCATGAACATTTCTCGCAATCACATTGGTCGGATCCTATACACGTGACCAGTCCTCAAAAACTCATGTAGACTGGTTATCCGGTGAATATCCATTTCTAAATATAGCCTATATGGAAATCTCCGGATATTGTCGACAGAATTTAAGCATGTACGAGGGAGAATTTTTCACGTAGCTTACATCAACATTTAGAGGTGTTTTTTTTCAGTTGGTATTATTATGTAACCTACTTGTCCGGAAGTTAGCTGTACATTCTTTGACAACAGATCTAGATAATATGCTTGTTTTTGACATTCATGATCAACTAAGATATTTTATTATATATCAGATACCTAAAAAGATTCATTCTGATCGTGTCACTTCTTTTTTGCACAATACTCCACGATAAATATTAGGCGTTATGCTGTTTTAGATTGTTTGAAGTGTCATTGATTTTCTGTCTAATTGCATTGTTTTAGTACAATAATGATCAATATAGGAAGCTTGTAACACCTGTTAACGAAACAGAGAAACAAAGCTGACGAGTAGGAACACTGAACTACAAGCAGTTTAGTACACAAATTATAGAACAGGCGCTGACTTCCCCCCCAAAAAAATGCATGTTTACTTTTCTCCAAATGAATACTAAAGTACTCCAAAGTAAATAGATCTTAAGATATAGTGAAAATATGCTGTTTTCCAAATGTATACCTACACTAATTGTATATATGCCATTTGATATCTGCAAGTCTAAATGAAAAGATACAGCTCTCCATATGTATAGTATTACTTAATTATTATTTCATAGTATACCTTCAAGTGTGCTTAGTTAATTAAAAGATATGCTGCTTTCTAAATGTACATACTGTATATACATGTTGCTTTCGTTTATCGGCATATGTCCTTAAATTACATCGCTTTCCAAATAATTACATATATGCTCTATCATAACATATAATATGTGTAAAAGGATTGGGTTTTGAACACTTACACAGGCTGAGGCCATGTCCTTGTTCGGCCTACATCAGGGTGGGTCGACACAGCTGAACACAATGTACATCAGTCCTTGGGGGCAGAGGATGCCACGCCGAGGTATTACCCCGAGGGAGGCAGAGCTATCCAGTTACCTGTAAGCTGGAGAAAGCGCGGCCATGGACTTGGGAAGAGCTGACACAGTTTCCCGGGATCAGGAGGTCACACCTGAAGGGATAATTCGCGATAGTGCGCGACGATATCGGAACGCGGACGCGGGATCTCGGTAAACCCAACAGGATGTGGACTTCTCTGTATTTCCAGAACACACATAATGAACTTATTGTTTTACTAGTGTGTGAGGGGGGTGGACAAATTTTACATGTACTTATAAATATTCATTGTACATTGTCATCATTACCCTTTCTGTTATAATTTGTCATTTTTCTAGGAACAATGTTTGGTATTATTTCTAGCATGTGTAGTAATGAGCCAGAAAATTCTGTCCACTTATGTGGAGGGGTAATGTGTATTTTTGGTGAGGAATGGAGATAAATCGGAATTGATTTTGTTTTTCATGTGCTGTTACTTTAGCGTAAGCAGCCCGATACTTAAGTATTTGGGGCTGATCACAATTCACCTGCTGTGTATAACACCACATATAAAGATAAACATCAGGGTCTTATACAGAAGACAAGGTCTGAGGGATAATTCCATTACCAAGAAATATACATGTAGGTCCTTGGATCTAGAGCATTTGGCTTGTGGGCTGCACCTCTGGTAATATTTGTGACTGGGTTTTTTCTATGATAATGTTGTTTTTTCTATGATAAAAGTGTTTACCTATAAGTGCACTTTTTATGTGGGTTGATTAACAGGTATTAAGGTTTGTTTTGTTACAAGATGATTAAATTGTCATTTTTGCTAAATCATCTAGTGATGCTGTTGTCATGCTACAACTGCTGTAATGATTGTAAACTTTCATTTTTTTGTTAATGGACGCATGGTTTCTCTATGTATCATCTAATGTTGTATGCTTTTGTGTTTCAAAACGATTGGATTGTTGTACATACCAAATGAGAACATTTGTCTCTTTTTAAGGGAAGGCGAATGTAAAAGGATTGGGTTTTGAACACTTACTTGTTGTATATAGTTCCGTATGTTGTGATCAGTTTACCTGGGGTATTCCAATTGGAGATTCCCTTCATTTCTGATTGGTTAATATTTTTGGGATAAGTTACCTTACCTGTACATCACTCTACGGTCAGGTAATGGGTCAGTATCGAGTTCAAATACTACATTGCACGTGTATTTCAAATACTACATGGCACGTGCATTTCAAGGCATACAATTAAATTTGGCTATATAGCTGGGTGTTTTGGTATTGTAAATCAGTCTGGCAGAGGCTTACATGTAGCTGGTCCGCTCGTCTTTATCCTTCTTACGGGCAGATATGTAGGAGTGTATTTCGGCCTTAGACCTCAAAATTCTTCCGGGCTGGGTGGTATTCTCCCATTGTAGGCATGTTTTGGTAGAACTATCTCAGTGTTAATTTGGGATGGTTATTTTCCCGTTGTAAGCATGTTGTAATATATTATCGGGGTGTGTTTAAACTTATTCCCCGGGGTGGGATACCGGGTGGACATTTTTGAGAGGACATATTTTACCCAGATATACTGTTTTTAGTATGGACCGGTCGAGTGGTTGACGTTCTGTAGCATTGTGTATATCTATTCAACATGTTCCATCTAATTTACTTCACTGTTTCATTTGGTACATAATAAATTGTAGAACTTTATAAGACGTGTTGTCATTCATTGACCTGTAGTCGAGGCAGAACCACAGAGTTGACGAACGAAAAATCACTATACGAGGACAAATCTTTTACATATATATGTATTGTATATTAGATGCAATAAAAATATGTTTGAATAAATAAAACATGCCAGCTATGTTTAGCAAACTTTGTTAATGGTTAATTATAATCACAACACAACGGAACAAACACATATATATATATCTGTATAACAACATCAGCAACAACAAACCTGCTGTTTATTTCTAGTTTTAATATTAATTATGCCACATCATCGGTGTCAAGGTTCGCGTCCCATACGGGACACGGGAGATAACTCTAACTTAATAGTTTGACAACGCTAGTTTCGATTTCAACAAAGACGGAAGTGATATTCGACCGACAGTGTTCTTTGCATCAAAGGTCATCAGCTAGGGTCAAGGGGAAGGTGTCAGTATACCGTAAGTATACAACATGTGTACTTATTCACCCAGAGCACACTACAGAAGTCCTAAAACTTGTAATCACGTGGTAGTTGTCATAACAGTTGCCAGGTCAACGTCGTTGGACAGGTTCCGGTCTGTTAACAGGGTTATGCTCATTAAATGTTGCTAACATAAAACAGTAATATCCATTAGGGTGAGAGACAACGTTATATATTATACTACATCTGTATGACAATTTATGATAGAAATCACAGGGACCTGAGAATTTGTTACTGTTATATTTGGAGCTAAACTGGAGTGTTTCGAGTACATTGTAATTGTACACGCTTCATGGGTTTAGATCAATTTTCAGTAAAAATGCCATCTCTGCGATGGGTTAAACCCCTAAACGTGTAACATGACTCTGAACACTTCATATTTGGTCCAAATAAAGCTGTCATCAATTCTCAGGTCCCTCTGATAAAAATAGCACATTAGTAAACCACTGAACTGTGACCCAAAGAGCCACGAAGTGGCTTATTTCCAAATAATATCCTCCTTCTACATATATAATGTATGCGTAATGTGCTACATTGTTATCAATTAAACAACTGCACAGAACTTAAACATTAGTGATCTGAAACTGAAACAACAACACTTTTTGACCAACATCTTTATATTACAAGTTTGTACATCAGTTTTTAGGATCATTCTTTAACTTGAGAGCACAGGGAAAATCCTCTCAACTCAGACACATTTGTGTAGAGATAAGTCATTGAGTCTACCGAAGCGAAGTGTGAAGTGCTAAGCGTATTATTATGCAGTATTGTTCCATTTGTTGACAGATAACTCACATAAAACAGAGATGCTTCCTGTTTGGTTCTACCAGCTAGTCATGGTGACGGTTTTACACTCATGTACTGCCAGTGTTAGCGTTAAACAACATTCCAAAGATGATACGTTGTATGAAATATCCGAAAACAGGAGAAGAGGCAACACACAGATAAGGCTTGAGGACAGTGGGCATGCTATTAACTGTGGTAAATATCTTTAGTAAATCGACACAGATTAGTCTACAAGCCACATATACACATATGTAATATATGTATATATTAGAATAGTCAGAAAAACCTCATTGAAGAGATGAAAGTGCTAATGACATGCTGTGTAGAATTTATTAATTTAAAATTATATACATGTTTATAGATGAACACACATCTTTGGAGATATCATTTCAATTATCTCATGTTACAACAGTATACGAAATTTCATGTAATAATGTCATATAATAGCATTTTTGAAATTTTGATTTAATATTGGAAAGTGTAACGTGATTTTTTTCTTTTAGAATATTGATAATTTATACAAAAAAAAATGATATAGTCCGATACAAGAATTTTCTTTATCTTTTTTTTCTCCATTTTTGTCTTTATTGTTAAAAGTAAAGGGAAGGAATCAATAAATCAGAAGAATTAATGCTAGGATGGTAAACATCGGTTTTACACATTTACGTCACTGGCTATCGTAAACATTTAGCGGTTGAATTTATTTATTAATATTTATTTCAGGTCCAACGGCAAATAAAATGGACTTCAGCTGGTCTCCAAAGACCTTACATAAAACGACGAATCCACTATCAGTTACACTGGATATGCTGGCTAGTAGGTTTTACTATATGTTTGTTTATCTTACCTCCATACGTCGTCGGCGTGCAACCCCAATACATTTTCGATACATTTAACCTCTGTGATTCATTACTTTGATGAACTTACCTAAAATGTCGTTGATGTCATGCAGTTTCTTAATGTCGTTGGTGTGTTTAACTTCCAGGGCTTGCTGGTGTAATGAACCTCTATTTGTCCTATATATGGGTTAAACCTTCCCACATCATTAACATTTTGAATCTGTTAATTGCTGATTTATTATTCTATATAATTCGAACGTGATAGCTTCATTGTTTCAATCAGATTTTTATAGTAACTTTTGGTCTAGTTTAAGTTCAAGAAAACTGCAATTCAACTTGGGTAAAATGGACAATGCTGATTATGTAAAAATTCACCAAAGTACAATTACAACAGAAGGATTATTGTGAACACTCAATTAACCCATCACTAAGTGCACGAGAAGGCTCAGCATCATCTCAGTAAAGTAGTGTAATAAACCCAACAAAACCATAGAGTTCATTGCAGTGGAAAGTAAATATTATAAAACATGGTGATAGTTATGCAAACAAATTTATAAAGTTATCGTTATGAATGCTCCTTGATGTTGATACAATCTATACGTTATTTCTAATATACTTTGGTCTGGTTAGTTCCAATTATCGCTGCATAGCCTGGAACGTGACAAAACTAGGTCATCAACATTACACGAGAAAGAGTTCAGCAAATCGGATGACGATTTTTGTGACGTCGACCGTTCGTTTAGGCGAATTCATATTTATGCGATATGATTAAACTTTACAAAGAAAGAGCGAGAGAAAACAAAACCTCATCGATTGACAACGTAATTTTAGTTTCACATTAAATAAATATAAATGTTTAAAAATGGATGTCCTGGACTTGTTATGGTTTATGATTTGGTAAGAGGTAGGTAGACAAAGAATAGAACAGTAATGTTATCACCTCATAGTCTACATAACTGACAAACATCATGTAACGTGTATGTAGTATGCTACCTACTAATTAATAGTGGCCATGTTCTTGTCCCTTACAGCTGTTGATCTCAACTCAGGATATGTCCAGCTCAATGTAACGGACAAAGTAGCACCGGACACCCCAATATTTCAGGTTAACCGAACAGGAGGTTGCCAGAGCCTGCAGAAGTTTGGATTCCAAAATCTCAACTGTCCTGTTAAGGCAAACGGTAAGCCTATCTGACAAACTTGTGCTAAATTCAATCCAGTCAAAAAGTTAATAAATAAATATACAACATTTGATATAGCGCCCTATCTAGCTAACATAAGCCACTCTAAAGTGCTTTACAGTACATAGATATACAATTCTATACAGTCAATACAATTAGCGTATATATTAATCAATATAATTTTGAGGAATTCGCAGGAACTACCTTATCAGGCGCTAACTACTAGTCCTATGCCACCTGTCTAATATCCCCCTATGTGTGTATGCCTGTCTGTGTGCTGGAGATGTATTGTGTTCTGTTTTGTAGTGGGACCGTGCTTCCAACGGTATCATTTATAGTGCCACCTCTCTTGAATAGATACAGCACAGATACCGCAACACCCACCCCAGACCACTTTACACTCCACCTGGGTTGTTGGAGTTGTGTGGGCAGGAGAAAAACACTTTCTCTGAATATTCCATGCGTACGGCGACTTCGGGGATCGAACCCCGGCCGCCTGCGTGGAAGTCCAGAGTGTTACCAATCCGCCCATACTGGTGTGAATGGTGTGGTTCGGCGATACATTTAAAACAGTAGCTTGTTGCCACGTGGCTTGTTGCCATGTGATTGACAGTACATATTAATGCGTTTGTGGTACGAATACAGTGTTTTCTGAGTTAATGTTTTAGCTGACCTGGTCAATACCTGGAAAAAGTCGAGATACCATCCTTTAATGTGTAATTGATTGGCATGGTAAGACGAACACATCCTAGCTATAAGGGTTGTCTCGAGGTTCTGTAATCATACAAATGTATATAGACATACACATGGATATCAACAAAAATGATTTCGAAGTACACTTAGTCCTTGTAGCCTTTGGACCTTGGAATAAACTATTGTATAGAGGGAGAGTGTACATATAGCTTCCATAGGAGCTGAGGGGCAAAGCCCGAAAGGATAATGTGGGTGTCTACTCTTGAATGTATTTCAATCAGATTTACTACTAACGTTGATATAAAATTTGGATCTAACCAAATACCGCTGTTCCCTTCAGAGCTGGAACAGTCATGAAAGTGAGGAATATTTGTAATATGAAAATATTTTGTCATGATTGATAAAACGAAACAGAACCTATTGGCCCCTTTTACAAACAAAATAATATTGTCTTCGTATTATTTTCACCCTACCAGCTAGGTCCTATATTGATTACAAGCACGTAATTAAATATCTAAATGATATAACGAGACAGTGTTGACAATCCCAGACTTAGGTACAGATCCGTTGTAATCACCAAGGATTAAAACTTGTATAATATATAAAGCAATGCCTAATTATAATATGTATGGTGTTTGTTCCCTGAGAAAACGAAAATTTAGACACAGTTTTGATGGCTGCTATTATGAAATACGTGTAGTCGGTCATTACAGCCTATATAGCAACGCCAGTAGGCGAACGAGAACATAAAAGAAACAGCTTTGCGCAGTCGCCATTTAATCTTTTTAGATTTTGTTTCTTGAAATTTTATTTACAATTACAATTGTGATGTCTCGTTTCGTGTTTGATATGTTTGCATGCATATGGAGACTAAAATTATACAACCGTTGATTTGATCAGAAATATTTAAATTTAAATTCTAATGTTTACTATTTTGATAAAATAGACTTCTGACCTGTATATGTATATTGATGATTGTTTTTTCAGACCAAATAAAGACATCCATCATGAAAACAGATGTACCAACTCTTCCGGAGGTATACTTTCATATTATAACCGGCGTTCTTAGAATGACTCATCTAAGCTAAAGTACCATATTAAAACCACGACTCTTTCTAAGGTTATGCATATTATTGAATATAGCATGTTTTTGTTCTCAAAAACGATTTTTGGTAAGCAGATTACTGTTTCATTTTGGATTATATTCTTACAACGTGATCTTGCGTAGTATTACATGTACCAGTTTCGGTTTGTGCATTAAAACAGTATTTCAGGAATCAGGATAGTGTCATGTCTACGTGTAATGATGTCGGATACAAGTCTCGTGTTTTAACATGTTTGAATTTGACCGAATGCAAGATCATCTCCCTTTGCCAAAGTAACGAGAACATTTTCATCTCACGAACAGTAATGTACAGTAAGAGTTGTGACGGGATAACTAACATCTAAAAAGTAATCATTGTTTCTACTTACAGGGCGAGTTTATTATCATGATCGTCGTTACAAATGAGAACAAAGAACTGTTTCTATGCATGAAGGCAGACGTCACAATCCAGCCCTGATCTATCGTGGTACGGTAACCTGATTCAAGCTTTGCTCAGCTGTAACGCATATCTACTGTATAACAGTATGTACGATTGTATCGTAGGGAATTCGATTACTTTTTATATATTTTGTACACGTAAAAACGTTATCTTCACACATTATTTTGACATAACTAATCATTTCACACAACATTGTAAAACATCTCTTCTAGGAAGATGGAATTATGCTGTTTCGTCAACAGTTATTGTAAATACTGCGTCTGCCAATGTTTACACAAAAACACCGATCTGCAGGCGATGTATGTGTATGCGATTTATAAACATTCTATAAGCATGCGTGTGTGACTTACGAATGCTACTTCAGACTTGGGGAAGGACGTGACTATATACATGATACATGTTCATATGAAGCGACTTATGTTATCCCCCTTACAGATTCGAAGGCTTTCTGCGTCCTCTGCTAGGGACACGTTGGAGAGACTATGGTAAATCTTCTTCCCCCAATTCGATACATTGGACATCAATATTTTCCTTTTCTCCTATCTACCCTCTTCTTGTTGGTACTTTCTGTACGTCGGTGGTGTTTCTCTGGGAACTCCGGCTTTCCTTCACCACCAAAACCTGGCATGTCCTTAAATGACCATAGCTGTTGATGGACGTAAAACACAAAGAAACCAAACCAAACCTGGTGTCTCCCTAGGGACCCGTCTCCATAGGACCTTTTCTGTGTAAATGTTGTATAATACTGGTATTGTTCTGGATGATGCTGAATGTTATTCCATACTAAAGGTATCATGTGATTGATACCAATGTCCTGCACGTTGCTTCTTATTAATCAAATGTATAATATCCTTGTCATGGTGGCCATACAGTATATATTTGACTGTCAATATCATTTTTTTTTTCTTTGTTATGTGAAGTGGTGTACATAACAGTACGTATTTAATTTGTTTCATTTTTGAGCTGTTTGTTGGATATTCTTTCGTTATGTTTAATGTTATCAGTAATTTGCTGTTATTTTCCCTTGTTTTTATGATCTTTTGTCAGTTCTATAATCAGTCAATAGTAAAACAGTGTGGATGTTTTTAAAATATGTGTAACTGGGGATCGTCAACAGCATCGCGAAAACATGATAAGCTTGTGTTTTGGTATGGAAGTATGTGGGCGAGTTACATATATGTAGGTTTTTTCTTTGCAAACAATGTGTTGTTTTATACAGTGACGTAAAACATAAGATAAACGGAATCTCAAACTTATTTTTATTCCGTCTTAGTTTAGTCAATCTCAATTAAAATTGTTTTGTCAAAATCAAATGTGACAAGAACTAAATTGAAATCCTCTTTGTATTATTTTGCTCTTTGATTCATATGATTTACATATGATAAGATCCAGAAGGCATTTATTTATGAATTCGATACTAAAATACAAGTAGAATGGAACTATTGTTTCACTATAATTAACTTCTATGAATATACTGTAGATAATATTAGTTTATATTTCTTTATTCATTAGCCTCTGGTCTATCATTTTTGTTTTCTGAATGAAAATGAATTGTTTAATGAGATATTTGTAACAGATGTGATCTGTACTACGTGGACACTTGTAAAACATGTCGTAAGTCTAATGCGGTTTTGCTACAGATGATAATTTTTCTTGGTTTTTTTTTTATCTCTTTGATTAATAAAACTAAACAATTGAACAAAAAGGGTTGCTGCTCTTTTTGTGTTAATTGTTTTATGCTATAGAATGATAAGAAAATATCTGGAAGCTAATGTGAATTCTTGTCTTTTAAGTTGTAAATACAAATTAAAACAAATATAAATTAGTGTCAATCAATTTGTTTATTTCAGTGCGTTACCAAACTGTATGTAACAATATTTATTTGATTATTTCTGATGATAAATAAAACGATTGCTGTTATAAATATGATTTGAATTGTTTTAATTGTCGTTATACGTTGTCGGTATACGTTTGATAGTCTGGCAATTTATTTCATTAACAAACCATTAACTAGGGATGACATACACCATATTGTATTCGAACATCTTTTATTATAAAAACAGATACTTGCACTCAAGTTAATATTTGTCCGTTTTCACTACGTAGATAACAATTTAATAAAAACTACTCAAAAAATTAAACACAACCTGCTCTGCCTAACTAACACATTTTATAACACAAGATATAAAATTATAATAAGAAATATAACAAAATATCATAAATATAAGCTATCAATATCACAATAGTTGTATTAGTAATAAACAATAATTGAGCAAGGCATTATAACCCATCAAATAGTTATACAGAAAATACATCATAGTATATTGATATAGTGAGTAATATTGCAAAAACAAAATAATATCCAAAATGAATCGCAACTACCTTGCAAGATAATGTACGAGTTATCAAAGAGACTTCTTTTGTGGGGTTTCTTTTATAATTAGATGATATCAAAAAGCATGTGTACTCTTACATTAACCATTCAACAGAGTACATATCAGTAAACAATAAAACATTGCTCGACAGGCTCACTTGTCCATCAGAAACTCCGATTCATTCATTGATAAATAAGGAACGGGTCAACGCAGTCACTCTCAGCCGAGCCGTAACCCGTCAAATTACTTATTCTCTCAATAATATACAGAGACTAACGTCAACAACTGTAAAGCCCTAAAACTAACTGACTGTCCAGACAAATCGCCAATTTCTATTTATTTCTGTAGATTATCATTTACAAAGAGGAAAAACCTTTGTCTTAGTTTCGGTAAAGTCTTAAAAGCACATCAATGCACCTTCGAACAGTGTTGCTGATGACTCCTCATAGTTTGTTACGTCTGTCACACAGCGTATACACAGTTCTGTGTTTTGTGTTTAGTTGTATCCATGTATTAACTTTTCGAGCAGTTCGGACGCAACGTACTTCTACTTTTATTTAAACTCCATGGACCAGTGCTAGCTTTTGTAAATTGTGTCATTTATGATGTTAAGAATACTCAAAAAGACTCTCACCATCTCCTCTGTTGGTTGATCGGCATTTATCACCTGAAACGGACACCGATACCATTATCGTACAGTGTTGATTCTGAAGATATACTCTTTTTTTCCAAAGATATGAAAACAGACAGACATAAACACTGTAATAAGTCATATAATAATCTTTATATATTTCATTGTCGACATTGAAATCAATGGATGAATGTTAAATTTCAACACTATTGCTTTTTTGTCATTTTTTTCTGTGATGAGCCAAGTCCAATCATTATGAAAATGATTTATAGTTCGTTTTATATATCCAGCACTTAAGAAAGTTTACTAAATTACATCTTAAAGTAGGTTTTGGAAAAAAGTATGATGTTGGTGTTTCCTCCAATAAGATGTTACTGCCACGATTGCAATCTAATATAAAGTGGAACGGACCACTCCGAGGCGTGCCAAACTCTACATGGACACTACCAGTTGCGTATTCTGGTCACTGGCAAGCGACCAAGTACAGATTAGCAACAGACTGGTGTGGTCTTTTGTTTACTTCATTAAATATATCCCCCTGTACTCACCATTACATGACTTTCAGTTGGAAACCCTGCATTCCTCCTGATCAGCCAGTCTTCGTGCAGTTCATGCACAGTCCGCAGACAATCCTAACGGAATTTACATATATATAATTATAGTTTTACACCGGTACATAACAAATGAGGATATGAATAGGGCTTTATTCATTTAGGAGTAACATCCGTCGTGATAGCATCGACATTGACGTTATGTTTACGTTGTCAAAAATGTTGTCGTTTTACACCAACGAATACATTTCGAAGAAAATATGATCATATGTTTTCTTTTCTCTATTTTTCTTTATTTGTCTATGCTTCAATATCAATTAAATCATGATATTTAAATGAGTTAAATTGACTATTTCAACATATATTTAATTATAGATACTCACCAGTGTAACCTTGGCCTCTTCTGGTCGATTTCTACTTTTAATTCTTTCGTAAGAATTTTCTGGTGTTGTTCGAAGATAAACTGCAACAGAAAACAATATATGCCATTTTGTCCCAGCTCCCGTTATATTCGTGTACAGAATTTAAGACATGACGGACACTGATTTGATCAAATTTCCATTATATTAAACATAAGTACATTACAACTTAAGGAGGCTCCACCCTTAGCCAGCAGAATTCAATGAAAGTTTCACATAATGGTTATGTCACTATGTAGAGATGATTTTATGAAAATCTAAGCATTCCGATAAACTGGGGATTTTTTTGTAAGAAATACTGAAATATTGAATTTTTGTCAAATTCAACACTTTTACATTTTTTGAGCGTGTTGCATTGTTCAAAACTATAACAACAATAAAATAATGAAAAGAAACATTGCTAATCAACCCTACAAATATTTTATTTATCATAAAATATCTACAACATGTTACAAAAAGCGTTTTTTATTGAAATTGTATGGATAACAGTTACTAAATACAAGCTAAAAGCAAACAGGACACATAGTTTCATACAAAAAGACTGAAAAATTGAACCAAATGCACACAAAGTCTTTATAATTAATTTATTTTACATTTTACAATAATTTTGATCCTGATGAGAGTTGTCTACCTTGAAAAAAAACGGAACTTTTTGCAGAGGGATAGAATTTATACAATGACACTTATTTTCTTTACTATACCAAAAAACGACGGAAGTAATTTAAATTACTAGATTTAATTGTCAATTTACTGTTCTTTTATGGAACAAAATTACTCTCAATCATGTACACTTTGGACATCATTCCATAGCCTGCTTACGCATGGTATATTAACATGTCAGGTACATATGTAACCATAGGCTATCGCATGGTATGCCGTTATTACGTGCACGCACATGCACTTGCATTTTATAGGGATCTTGATATTTTACAAACCACTTTTTAACAGAGTTATTGTAATTGCATTTGTGAACCGATTTATCTGACAGAGCGTAACTCGCTCGACAACAAAAGTCGTAGCGACCAAGAGCTTGTGAACTACTGTTAGCACGTGATACGTACAGGAGAGGTCGGTAAACAAAACACATCAGTCTGCATTCCATGCGCCTCATATACGACCTTCTTGGAAGTCGTCTGATCATATGTCAGTGTTTGCCCGTGAGTTAATTAATGTCTTTGTATCATAAGCTTTATTTCTGAAGTACGTGTGATTACACATTTCCAAGTTAAGTCTCGATATCGGGTGTTGACATATCATCGTCACGCACATGTACTATTGTTTACCCGGTGTTACTATAATTTACACCACGGTAATGGAATGCCCGATACGCAATACGGAAATGACGACACGAAAATACGAAAAGAAAAACATGTGTATTACGAAGGGTGGAAACTCCTTAACTACAGGAACGTCGAAATCAGATGTTCTGCTCCGGTTTTATTTGTGGCACTCGTTGGGTGTTTTATGTAAGTTATAAGAAGATCAGACAGAGTGACTGAGCAGTCACGGAAACCATGTATATGTTTATTTACGTGAACAAGACCAAAACACTCCGTGTATATATTCCGTATTAGTTGTTCATTAAATCACTGATCTGGAACATACTGCTTAAGTAGATACTGTTGAAAACGTAAATCAAGCGTACAAATAGCCTTTAGTCAAACATGAAGATATCATGGCACCGGCTGAGATGAAATATTCTGTAAAAATGTTTAAGAAAGACTGCATTATACATCACATCTCATTTTCTTTTCCATTGCATTTGTTTATCAACTAGAATATTAATATTTTGTATACTCTCGATGCACATTAATTGTGCCTGCTTCAGTTCTTGGTCATTAAACATACACATATTAGCATACTAGTATGTATCATATGTTATATGTAACTGTGCCACTTGGAAGTGTGTCATGCCTTAGGTAAACATATCTTATTGATATAGCGTACTTTCTTTCTAGCACTCTAGATCTGTGCTTTTATGCCGTGTAACTTTATACTTATATCATGATGCTCTGTTTTGTTCATAATATCAGTATCAGAGGCAAAACATCATACCAGTAAGTCCAATATTCAGGTTATGTGCTTTTCTTATCCAGTCAAACCATTTTGCTTTTCTTATCCAGTCAAACCATTTGCTGAGAATAACGTATTCCATATCAGTCATCTTGCCACTGAAATAAAAAAAAAGGGAAATTGCATTCATGACAAACGTCATTGTTCAATTTGTCCAACTCTGTAATCTTTCAAATGTTTTAATCAAATATCAATATAAAATTCAAACATTTCAATTTTAAAATATATTCAAATATCTTCAAAATAAGTGATATCATAATAAAACTTACCTTCTATAAAACATTTCCATAAAACATAACTGGGCGCTGTTGATGGACCGTTCCAACACTTTCACCGGTTTTTGCTGGAAAGTGGAAATGTTTTGTGTAAACGGATTCTGATTAAAATGCGAAAACATCACCTTAATATATAGATAGTATCGTCATAATTACCAAGGTATACGTATTTCATAATAACCAAGGTATACGTATTTCATAATTACCAAGGTATACGTATTTCATAATTACCAAGGTATACGTATTTCGTAATTACCAAGGTATACGTATTTCAAAATTACCAAGGTATACGTATTTCAAAATTATCAAGGTATACGTATTTCATAATTACCAAGGTATACGTATTTCAAAATTACCAAGGTATACCTATTTCATAATTACCAAGGTATACGTATTTCATAATTACCAAGGTATACGTATTTCATAATTACCAAGGTATACGTATTTCATAATTACCAAGGTATACGTATTTCATAATTACCAAGGTATACGTATTTCATAATTACCAAGGTATACGTATTTCATAATTACCAAGGTATACGTATTTCAAAATTACCAAGGTATACGTATTTCATAATTACCAAGGTATACGTATTTCATAATTACCAAGGTATACGTATTTCATAATTACCAAGGTATACGTATTTCATAATTACCAAGGTATACGTATTCATAATTACCAAGGTAAACGTATTTCATAATTACCAAGGTTTACGTATTTCAAAATGACAGACGAAGTATTGCTAAAAAAGGCTAGATACCAGATATTGAATGTAATGCAGTTCTTGAAGCAGAACATGAACATACTGATGTACTTTCTAGTGATTGTTTCACTTCTTTATGATCCAAAGTATTAAGTTGACTTTGAAACCACTTCATTAATCAGACTACTAAGATAAGGGTTCCAGCTACTAAGGGAGACTCGAATGTTACTAAGATAAGGGTTCCAACTACTAAGGGAGACTCGAATGTTACTAAGATAAGGTTCCAACTACTAAGGGAGACTCGAATGTTACTAAGATAAGGGTCCGGCTACTAAGGGAGACTCAAATGTTACTAAGATAAGGGTTCCAAGAACTAAGGGAGACTCGAATGTTACTAAGATATGGGTTCCAGCTACTAAAGGAAACTCGAATGTTACTAAGATAAGGATTCCAGCTACTAAGGGAGACTCGAATGTTACTAAGATAAGGGTTCCAACTACTAAGGGAGACTCGAGTGTTACTAAGATAAGGGTTCCAACTACTAAGGGAGACTCGAATGTTACTAAGATAAGGGTTCCAACTACTAAGGGAGACTCGAATGTTACTAAGATAAGGGTTCCAACTACTAAGGGAGACTCGAATGTTACTAAGATAAGGGTTCCAACTACTAAGGGAGACTCGAATGTTACTAAGATAAGGGTTCCAACTACTAAGGGAGACTCGAATGTTACTAAGATAAGGGTTCCAACTACTAAGGGAGACTCGAATGTTACTAAGATAAGGGTTCCAACTACTAAGGGAGACTCGAATGTTACTAAGATAAGGGTTCCAACTACTAAGGGAGACTCGAATGTTACTAAGATAAGGGTTCCAACTACTAAGGGAGACTCGAGTGTTACTAAGATAAGGGTTCCAACTACGAAGCGAGACTCGAATGTTACTAAGATAAGGGTTCCAACTACTAATGGGGACTCGAATGTTACTAAGAGAAGGGTTCCAGCTACTAAGGGAGACTCGAATGTTACAAAGTTAAGGGTTCAAACTGCTAAGGGAGACTCGAATGTTACTAAGATAAGGGTTCCAGCTACTAAGGGATACTCGAATGTTACTAAGATAAGGGTTCCAGCTACTAAGGGAGACTCAAATGTTACTAAGATAAGGATTCCAGCTACTAAGGGAGACTCGAATGTTACTAAGAGAAGGGTTCCAACTACTAAGGGAGACTCGAATGTTACAAAGTTAAGGGTTCAAACTGCTAAGGGAGACTCGAATGTTACTAAGATAAGGGTTCCAGCTACTAAGGGAGACTCGAACGTTACTAAGATAAGGGTTCCAACTACTAAGGGAGACTCGAATGTTACTAAGATAAGGGTTCCAAGAACTAAGGGAAACTCGAATGTTACTAAGATAAGGTTCCAACTACTAAGGGAGACTCGAATGTTACTAAGATAAGGGTTCCGGCTACTAAGGGAGACTCGAATGTTGCTAAGATAAGGGTTCCAACTACTAAGGGAAACTCGAATGGTACTAAGATAAGGGTTCCAACTACTAAGGGAGACTCGAATGTTACTAAGATAAGGGTTCCAGCTACTAAGGGAGACTCGAATGTTACTAAGATGAGGGTTACAACTACTAAGGGAGACTCGAATGTTACTAAGATAAGGGTTCCAGCTACTAATGGAGACTCGAATGTTACTAAGATAAGGGTTCCAACTACTAAGGGAGACTCGAATGTTACCAAGATAAGGGTTCAAACTACTAAAGGAGACTCGAATGTTACTAAGATAAGGGTTCAAACTACTAAGGGAGACTCGAATGTTACTAAGATAAGGGTTCCAACTACTAAGGGAGACTCGAATGGTACCAAGATAAGGGTTCAAACTACTAAAGGAGACTCGAATGTTACTAAGATAAGGGTTCAAACTACTAAGGGAGACTCAAATGTTACTAAGATAAGGGTTCCAACTACTTACTGAGACTAGAATGTTACTAAGATAATAGTACCAACCACTTACTGAGACTCGAATGTTACTAAGATAATAATACCAACCACTTACTGAGACTCGAATGTTACTAAGATAATAGTACCAACCACTTACTGAGACTCGAATGTTACTAAGATAATATTTCCAACTACATACTGAGACTCAAATGTTAATAAGATAATAGTTCCAACTGCTTACTGAGATTCGAATGTTACTAAGATAATAGTTCCAACTACTTACTGAGACTCGAATGTTACTAAGATAATAGTTCCAACTGCTTACTGAGACTCGAATGTTACTAAGATAATAGTACCAACCCCTTACTGAGATTCGAATGTTACTAAGATAATAGTTCCAACCCCTTACTGAGACTCGAATGTTACTAAGATAATAGTTCCAACCACTTACTGAGACTCGAACGTTACTAAGATAAGGGTTCCAACCACTTACTGAGACTCGAATGTTACTAAGATAATAGTTCCAACTACTTACTGAGACTCGAATGTTACTAAGATAATAGTTCCAACTGCTTACTGAGATTCGAATGTTACTAAGATAATAGTTCCAACTACTTACTTAGACTCGAATGTTACTAAGATAATAGTTCCAACCACTTACTGAGAATCGAATGTTACTAAGATAATAGTTCCAACCACTTACTGAGACTCGAATGTTACTAAGATAATAGTTCCAATTACTTACTGAGACTCGAATGTGTTGTTCTAACATTGTCAGCTGTATATAGTTCTGTAACGTAAATGACCATCTTGCCGGATCCTCATAAATTTTCCCCTGAAACACAATCAAAAACGCAACCAGATTCGAATTGATTCTCTTTTGGCTAATTAAGTGAATAAGGTTAATATTTGATATTCTTTCTTCGCAAAATATTCTTTGTATAGGTCATAAGACAAAATATAACATTTAGGTCATATAGAAATATAGTATGTATGGTTCATGAAAAAAAATGTAGTATTAATTGGTCTTATGACAACGATGGCAACAATTGAAGTGTAGCCTACCTTGCTGCAATTAAGAAATTTATCTCCATAGAAATTGTGTAAAATAGATTTTAAAGTTCAATGGATGCTAAATGAACATTTAATCCCTTAATATCTGTTTAATGCTTTCATTTTTTTTCAATTAGAAAAGGTAACTTTTTATTTTATTTTAAATCTAATACCGATTACAAATAATACATATAAGTATACATAAACCATAGGTACAAAATGTACTAGCTAAAGAGAGATAACTCTTACATAAAAAGTATGTATAAAATGTAAGGTAACATACACTAATACATGTATATTAAGTAATGTCCTATTTATAAAAGTAATGTGCTATTTATTTAATACTCACTAATAATTCACTTCCCAACATAACATGTCCTTCCAGAAGATTGGACTGTTTCCCTTGTTCTTCAATAAACTGTGTAACGTGTGATAAATTGTTATTTGTCTATCAGAAAATTCAAATGGTCCACATACACGTGTATGAAAATCCTGTCACATTGGAACCCATTGGAACCCTGTCACATTGATATTGGAACCCATTGGAACCCTTGTCATTTTCATTTTGATATCCATTGGAACCCTGTCACATTTATATTGGAACCCATTGGAACCCTTGTCACATCATTATAGGAACCCAATGGAACCCTGTCACATCATTATTGGAAACCATTGGTACCCTTGTCACATTAATATTGGAACTAATTCGAACCCTTGTCACATTAATATTGGAACCCATTGGAACCCTTGTCACATCATTATTGGAACCCATTGGAACCCTTGTCATATTCATTTTGAAAACCCATTGGAACCCTGTCACATTTATATTGGAACCCATTGGAACCCTTGTCACATTAATATTGGAACCCATTGGAACCCTTGTCACATCATTATAGGAACCCATTGGAACCCTGTCACATCATTATTGGAAACCATTGGTACCCTTGTCACATTAATATTGGAACTAATTCGAACCCTTGTCACATTAATATTGGAACCCATTGGAACCCTTGTCACATCATTATTGGAACCCATTGGAACCCTTGTCATATTCTTTTTGAAACCCATTGGAACCCTGTCACATTTATATTGGAACCCATTGGAACCCTTGTCACATTGATATTGGAACCCATTAGAACCCTTGTCACATCATTATAGGAACCCATTGGAACCCTTGTCACATCATTATTTGAACCCATTGGAACCCTGTCACATCATTATTGGAACCCATTGGAACCCTGTCACATTGATATTGGAACCCATTGGAACCCTTGTCACATTGATATTGGAACCCATTAGAACCCTTGTCACATCATTATAGGAACCCATTGGAACCCTTGTCACATCATTATTTGAACCCATTGGAACCCTGTCACATCATTATTGGAACCCATTGGAACCCTGTCACATTGATATTGGAACCCATTGGAACCCTTGTCACATTGATATTGGAACCCATTAGAACCCTTGTCACATCATTATAGGAACCCATTGGAACCCTTGTCACATCATTATTTGAACCCATTGGAACCCTGTCACATCATTATTGGAACCCATTGGAACCCTGTCACATTGATATTGGAACCCATTGGAACCCTTGTCACATTGATATTGGAACCCATTAGAACCCTTGTCACATCATTATAGGAACCCATTGGAACCCTTGTCACATCATTATTTGAACCCATTGGAACCCTGTCACATCATTATTGGAACCCATTGGAACCCTGTCACATTGATATTGGAACCCATTGGAACCCTTGTCACATTGATATTGGAACCCATTAGAACCCTTGTCACATCATTATAGGAACCCATTGGAACCCTTGTCACATCATTATTTGAACCCATTGGAACCCTGTCACATCATTATTGGAACCCATTGGAACCCTGTCACATTGATATTGGAACCCATTGGAACCCTTGTCACATTGATATTGGAACCCATTAGAACCCTTGTCACATCATTATAGGAACCCATTGGAACCCTTGTCACATCATTATTTGAACCCATTGGAACCCTGTCACATCATTATTGGAACCCATTGGAACCCTGTCACATTGATATTGGAACCCATTGGAACCCTTGTCACATTGATATTGGAACCCATTGGAACCCTGTCACATTTATATTGGAACCCATTGGAACCCTTGTCACATTAATATTGGAACCCATTGGAACCCTTGTCACATCATTATTGGAACCCATTAGAACCCTGTCACATTGATATTGGAACCCATTCGAAACCCTTTTCACATTAATATTGGAACCCATTGGAACCCTTGTCACATCAATATTGGAACCCATTGGAACCTTTGTCACATTAATATTATAACCCTTTGAAACCCCTGTCACATTGGTGAAAAGCAAATATTACGAAAACAACATCTTTATTCTATGAAAATGTTTTAACTTGATGTGTACTTGAAACATAAATTGTATAGATTTTTATAAACATTTTTAGGAAATAATTTAAATCTGGATAAGTTTTATATAAAAGTTATAGTCCTTGATGTACGTTTTTTTTATATAAATGATTTAGTTTTTTCATAATAGGCAAAATGTGTGATATTACATGCACAGTCATGATTTGTACACACTGTTCAAAATTAAAGTCGTCATAATCAATGAATGCAGTGTGAATTCATTTGAGGTCCTCTTTATTCATTACTTTTAATTAGTTAATGATATATCTCAAATAAGAAAATATTTACGTCAATATCTCCAATTTTCTCCAAGTGCTGTATAAACGTTGTTTTCCCACTAGCGATGTTCCCTTCCACACAAACCTATAACAGAGAATATATTGATATACATCAAATATTGTTCATGTGCATGTTTTAGATTTTAAATCTGCACAAAGTTAAAGTCTGCAATGCAAATTGTACATTATGGTGATGGTTCAGTTCGTGTGCTTGTCTGTCACCATGCAATGTGTGTCCCGTCACCATGCAACACCAATTACATGATATGCATGTAAAACCAAGATTATTTTAATGCGTATGTGTCTCGTCACCATGCAATGTGTGTCTCGTTACCATGCAACACCAATTACACGATATGCATGTAAGACCAAGATTATTTCAATGCGTATGTGTGTCTCGTCACCATGCAATGTGTGTCTCGTTACCATGCAACACCAATTACACGATATGCATGTAAGACCAAGATTATTTTAATGCGTATGTGTGTCTCGTCACCATGCAATGTGTGTCTCGTCACGTCACCATGTAATGTGTGTCTCGTCACCATGCAACACCAATTACATGATATGCATGTAAGACCAAAATTATTTCAATGGCTTTTAATCCTCGTATGTAACATGATCAATTATACATAGATTATGATACATTCCAATTTATTTGTTCCGATACAATAATGAAAGCTTGATTCGAATATATGTAGTCAATGTAACCAGCGAGTTTTGTTACCATATATACTGTGTATATACCTACGTTAAAAGCTTTACCAGGTTTACTTGAGAAAGACGCAGCAGGGCTTCCTAGAAAACAAATAAGATACATAGTAATGACATATTTTGAAAGCCCACAATTGCTTACTTATAAATAACAACAAAAGCCATCGGAAGTGTTCTAAATCGATGTGAAATCTGAGCAAGTTAATTGCCTATAAACGACCTCGATATCTTTTTTTTTTTTTGACATTTTTCAGTATCAAATGTATCAGAATACGTCCACACTATCACATAAATAGTTGGGGTTATATCAGAAATAAGATTTCTTTTTCATCGAGCGTTTATCAGCCTAATGCAATGCAATGACATATTTTAAATTTAAATATTCCATGAAAAAGCGTGCAGAAATACTAACATTTTTGTTTATTATATTTTGTTTTCAGTTTCGATGATTATCAAACTATCACATATTCTAACTTTAATTTAATATGAATTCAAGCCACTGATGATGGTATGTTATAGGCGGCCATATCCGCACATAACTCCGGTTTAATCAAGGTTTCTCAATCATTTAGTAATTTCTATATACATATGTACATATATACTGTCGCTCAATAAGAAGCGATCTTGTCTTAACAAAGGAATCAAATATTTCCATCTTGCTAGCGCTGTTATTGTTAGTCTGGAGTAATATATATAGTGCAAGGTAAAGTGTGACAAATGCAATAGTTGTTTAAGTACCTCGTGGTCGATATTTCAATACGTATTTTAGACCACATTACGTCCGACAATGGCTAATTGTTTGTAGATTGTGTAATATGCAAAGTAACTGTGTATGCCAGTATGGTGTTGTACTTTGGAGGTAGATCCAATAACACTACATACATATGTATATATGGGGACGGCGTACACAATGACAACACTAGTACTATCGAATTACTATTACAAGTGTACTTACAATAATGTAGATACGTCGTCAAACAAATACATTATCAATATGTTACTTATTAAGGGGAAATATCGACTGTACTAGAACAGACTCAGAAACATGTTAAGTAACATACATGCACATGTACAGTGTACATGACTTAGATAGATATACACGAGTTCATTGTATTATACGATACCAAATAAAGCCGGTGCCAATGGTAAAGACTTCCGTGTTACTGAGTGGTGTTGCCTCGTATATTCTCGAGTAACATTAGGAACAAAAGAGTTGAAAAAACCTTTCGTCGCCAGTCTGACAGACATGGCTTCCCTAGTAAATGTGGAGATCCGAAGACCGTGTTGCGAAGTCATTTCGGCTTTCTATATATTATATACAAAACGAAAGTACACTGGTATTTCCCGTTCTGGCCGATCATTGAGAAATTCCCAACAGGTACAACGTTAACACGACCAATGGAATTCAAACATACTAATTATGCATTAGTTAGTCAGAAAGGACATTACCTGGATACTTTCGTTGTGTATACAAGATTTTGTTGATTTTTCTTCCCATATAAGGAAGTGGGCACTCAGTGGGATATGCGTGCTATGCGTGCTTGGGCCTCGGTAAAAATAAAACTTCACTTAATACGTATACGCGATCAACTGATATGCAATACTAGATATGTGTTCATGATTGATATGCCAAACTCCTTTTTTTAATAATGAGCTACATTTTGTAGAAAACAAGTTGAGGAGTTCAGTACGTGTAGAAGTTAGCGTTTAAAGAAAATAAACATGTTGTAGTTTGTAAGAAAAATAAATGAAATACAGTACTTTCTCATGAAAAGTTGTTTCTAATCACAAATTATCAACATTTACAGTAGACTAATAGGGCTAATTTTAAAGAATTTTATAAAGGAGCCCAACTTGCGGGATATGCCGGAATATTTAATTATTTTGGCGTTTTTAATTTTGGTTTACTGCATCATTTGAACGCTTGATTGGAATGATCCAAACAACTGTCACAAGAAATGCTTTGTAGAATCATTTTACAACTGTATTTGGATGTGGCCCAAATCGGCCACAGAACTGTACGAAAATTGCTACTGCTAAATGAAAACAATAATTTTGCTTTATTTAAAGCATGATTAAATAAGCAAGTATAACACTGATTTCTACTTTATATATTTTTATAATAAAAGTCATTCACATTGAAGTGAAACAAAACCAAAGATACACCTGTTAACATAATTGCGTGAGCGAATCAATAAGACCGTTGCAGCTCCAGTGTCCAATACGGATCACGACAAGGCTTATGACTTGACCACACAGCCATGACGATGTTGGTGTAGATCTGCAGAAAGCTCCAAAGGATGGACGACGTGATGGCCTCGCGACTACCAGTGGAGGTGAGGTGACAACCATGCATTACTGTGGTAGATAGAGCGTACAGTAGGCCTGATGAGGCTGATCACAATGTATCGGTATGCTAGTTATGCTCGGCAAAGGGTTGTATAACGTTACAGTGTTGATCATCAGCTGACATGTTTATCATCTTTATGTAAGATTTGTAGGATTGTGGTTAAGTTTCGCGAAGTAGAATGGGTTTGCATATTGCATTTCTTACGCGACCAGGACTTAATCAAACGCTTTATATTGTCAGAAACCTCACTGAAGCTTCTGTGTTGTCTATTGTTGATCCTATAGACAAATATATGGCTAACTGGCTGATCACAGGGGTTCGTTACACGCATAGGCAATACGTATACGCAGTACTGATATATGGGTCACAGCATACCCAAGCAATGGCCCATGTCAGTATAGCGTATGTGTAGTCATTTGTGCAGAGGGACCTGAATGTTTATATTTGCTTCAGTAATTTCTTATTTAGAGACTGAAGTGTTTGGTATGTGGTAGGGGTGTCACAATATGCCAAGAGTGTATCACGATATATTGCAATACAGAATTTTATAATCAGCTGTCGTCGGAATGTTATCAAACTTATTCATATATAATAATAATGGATAACATAAATTAAGATTCTTGTCAAAACAACCATCAATTGCAAAATTTGAACAATTAAAAACCTGCTCTATGCTTATTGGCATATTTGTTAGAATTTGTAGTAATTTACAAAGTTAAAACAACAAGCAGATACATAAAAATATGCTTTTGAAAAATATTGCTGAAATATTGTGTTACAGCAATATTTCATCTCTGTATTGTGGTGCGATACGATATACCTGTGTATTACGATATACCTGTTTTCTGATATATTCATTATTGTGACAACCCTAATATGTGGCAGATTTTAATTATATAATTAATACATATGATTACGGTCGGCTTCGAGCTAGTGGGAATGTGCCTTTAGCTCAGTTGTAGAGTGTCCTACCAGGAATCAAGGGATCGCGGGTTCGAAGCACACTATTCTCTTTCCTGTCACAAGTATAACAGTGGGATCTGTATGAATTCTATACATTTAATTTTAGGTAACCTGTTTTTTCATTAACAAAGAACATGATGTTTTGGGGCTTTTTTCCTAAGACAAAAACGTCTTAATATTCATACAATATAAAATCGGCAATATGCAGGATACAAAAAGTTGAAACATGGCATGTAAGTATCAGAACATCTCAAACAGTACACATGACCAAAATTTATCTGTCAGCGTCCTCGAGCTCTGACGTGACAGGTTAAAATTGTGTAAAGTGGTCATGTGTCTAGGTAAAAAAATCACAATAGATATCAAAATAATTAATGACATTTACATTAACCGATTGAGTTGTGTAAGATATATATCAACATCATTTTGGAAGAAAAACTTTTGAGTTTTTTTTTTTTTTTTTTTACAATTTGATATGAATCCATTCCACCTGCTCCTCTTGCAATTATTACAGTGATTTTAAATCCTTTTGTCAGAAAATCACAAGTGGGTACATTCTAAATTAGATATAGTCGACAACGCGTTAATTGAACTTAATCATAACTGTCCATTAGATTATCTTAGGTGGTGCATAGTTAATCAAATTCACCAAAAACAAATTGTCCAATGTATTATGAAGTTTATCACCAACACAGATGTTTGAATTCCTAAATGGGAATATGCAATTTTCTATGATTATTGAAAGAAAAAAACTGAGTTGTAAGTGTAGCAAAAATTTACTTGGTGATCAATCGTTGGAGACCTGGGCCCGTATTCATAAAACCGTTCTCATGCTCAAACTTGGTGTTTTATGCTCATGTTTTCTGTCTTGTACTCACTGATTTCGTTCTCACGCTCAAGTCGTATTCATGAAAAATTTCGTCCTCAAGATTTGAGCATGTACTCAATTGGTAGAGCGTCCATCTAGAGTTCAGAGGATCCCAGGTTTGAACCCAAGTCTGGCTGTTGCATTTCTCTTTCTCCTGATACATAAGCATGATTTCCTTTTGACTTAAGAAGTCATACGATTGCCAAGCTACCTCCCAAGTGAGACTTCCTAACCTAAAAACGGGATAATTTTGGTTCTTTCAGGAAAATAACAACGTATACTGTGACCATTGAATTTGAAAATCAAATTTTCTCAATGCATTTATCCAGGATTTATGTCCTGATTGCAGCCAATAAAGTAAACGACGTACATGTATCAGGTATTTTTCCGCCCTTAGAGGACGTATGTACTGGATCAATAAAAGCACAAATTTGATCCTATGAATATTTTTGGTTGTTCAAATCAACTCCTTTAATACCTAATACTATACCCCTCTCATTAGGAAAGATATTAAAATACATCAAGTATCGAGATTCACATTCATAGGTCACAAGGCCAAACTTGGATTGTTTTTATTTGCTAAAGTTTTGTGACAAGTAGAAAATGTTAAAACAAATGGGTTTCCTTCTGCTACTGAAAAACATGACAGATGATCATGATCAATCAATGAAATAAAAATGTCCTTTTTTCTTTGTTTAACCATAATGGTAAAAGATTTGCTTTTCTTTGATCAGGTTGTCACCCATGTGATGCGCTTCCTGAGTGTTTCCGACAGGAAGGAGGCTGCATTGGTTAATAGTATTTGGTACGAAGCATCTCTGGACCCTATCCTCCAAGACGATGTTGTTCTACACTTCCATGCCCTAACCACTAATGACAGAACACCACAGATCACCAGACGCAACCTACCTCACCTAATAGTAGACCAGTTCGACAACTCACTGAACTCTAAGGTCATTATACTTAAGTCATGTGAGCAGCTCAGTCAATCATTGCAGAGTCTGTCTCTAAAGTCCAGTAACATCACAGAGAGCACCTTCGTAGAGTTATTATCCAAGTGTAACAATCTGGTCAGCTTGAATCTCAGCTGTTGTAACTCACTTTTTATGTCAGGAAAACTGCTGGAGATGAATGGAGACATGCAGAAACTAAAGTCTGTACTAGGATCTGTGCAAAACCTTGATTTGTCTGCCATTCGTTACATGTCAGATTCTACATTCAATCGTATTGTAACAGTGTGCCCTAATTTGAGCTCTCTGTCTCTAGGATCTGCACAACTTACCTTCAACAGTTCATCCTACATGCCCAGGGGCAAGACAAAATGTGCCAGTAGCACACTGTTGACATTTGACAATATTCTTGAGTATCTAAAACTTCAAAGTCCCAAAATGAAATTGTTGAATTTGAGTAGAACGGCATTAACTGATGATGCATTAGAGACCCTAGTGACACTGGAAGGTTTGAAATTAGAGGAGTTGGTTCTGGTCTGTTGCAAGGATATTTCTGATTCAGGAATTTCTGTCATTTGCAAGTATCAATCAAAATTGAAGACGATTGACTTGAAGGGATGTGTGGATCTCACAGATGGTGCTATAAACTTGATGAGTAAAAACCTTTTGGTTTTGGAGAACTTAAAACTTGGAAAATGCAGAAGGGTGTCTGATCATTCCATAAAGCAGTTGAAGCATCTGCCCTGTCTTGAGCTGGTGGACCTTTCGGAGAACTACCTTGTGACCTCCCAAGGCCTCATTGAAGGCCTCTGTGGTAATATCAACATTCCACTGGTGCATCTCAATCTTAACTGTTGCCCTAGTGTCACCGACAGTTTCATCCTGTCTATGTGTAAAGTGGTCACACACCTTGTGCATCTTGATTTAGGGTCCTGCTTCCCACTTACAGATCACAGCTTGGTCACCATGTCAAAGAATTTGAAACATCTGAGATACCTACGACTAGCTTGGTGTAAAGAGATCACAGACCTTGGACTCCTGGGATATGAGAGAACAGATGGAGAGTCACAGGATTCACATGAACACGACGAACACGGAAAATGTCGATGTACACGGAAATACAATAGCACAGAAATATTCCGAAAACCCACAGGAAATATCCATTTGAAGAACAAATCTGGAGAAATGGAGAAGCTTGTGTCCAGACACAATGAGGTTTGTACCCTGAAAAATCTTTCAATTCTACGTGAACTGGATTTGTCTGCATGTCCCAAAATAACAGACACTGGATTGACGCAAGTTGTCAAGTTCAAAGAACTTAGGTCATTGAACTTGAGTATGGTTCAGATTACAGACTTGACAGTGCACTCAGTGACCTCCAACAATCCCAGCCTTGAGCACCTAAGCTTGGCTCAGTGTGCGGCCCTGACTGATGATGCCATAGAATGTGTTGCCAAGCGACTACCCCGGCTGACAAGCCTTGACATCTCCAAGTGTGATAAACTGACCAATAAGAGTATCCAGTTTCTTAAAGAGTATTCAAGCAGGCTGCGTACATTGGATGTGTCATTTTGTGAGAATATATCTGTTGCCGCTGTTGACAATCTGGAGACAAGTCGGAACTTGAAGAATGTACAAAAGCGACTTCTAGGTGGCAGCTTTTAATAGTAGGTTTAATGATGAGAGTAAAATTCCTATGAGAGGTTTGTGATATGATTCAAACTTGAGGATCTGCAAGGTGTTTACTGGAATGTGTGACCCCTTAGACCAAAGGTGTTTACTGAAATGTGTGACCCCTTCGACCAAAGGTGTTTACTGAAATGTGTGACCCCTTAGACCAAAGGTGTTTACTGAAATGTGTGACCCCTTAGACCAAAGGTGACGGATATAGGGAAACAGAACACGTTGTTTAACTATATATATTGTCAAATATTTAAACTAGAACTGTGATCAAAGTTAAATGTTATTGATTTTCATATTCATAAATCTTCCATTTTAAGAGTTTGAGAAATCTTACGTTTGGTATAACTTTATCACTTATACATATATGTATTATCATTGTTATCATGATGTCATTGGTGTTTGAATGAAAACTTGTTTTGTGCTGCTGTACAGAAAAACACTTTATTCTTGGTTTGATGGAAATATGTACATGAACAAAACCATGTTGCTGTTTACATTTTGTGAAATCAAACATGGTTTACAATAAATCCTTCATATTTTTCTTGAGGTTGCCTACATTTAGTAAAATACAATCAAACTTGTTAGGAAGCACCTCAATTAAGAGGCCACTTGTGTTGAGAGACCATTTTTAATGTTCCCCATTTGAGTTATTTCATTGTAAACCGAACCTGTATTAAGAGACCACCTGTGTTAAAAGGATATTTTTTGGACTTTCTGCGGGTGGTTGCTAGGGCTGTCACAATATATCAGAAAAACGGTATATCGCAATACACGGGTATATCGTATTGTACCACAATACAGAGATGAAATTTTGGTGTATCACAAATATTTTTTAACAGCTTATTTTTATGTATCTCATTCTGCTTGGTAATTTAACTTTGCAAATTGCTACAAATTCTAACAGATATATGCCAATAAGCATAAAGCAGGCTTTTAATAGTGGTGGGAATTAGTTCATATTTTGTTATCGATGGTTGTTTTGGCAGAAATCTTAGATCTATGTGATCCATATTATATATGATTAAGCTTGATAACATTCTGACAACAACTTATCATAAAATCGAGCACATCTTTCCTATGACGATATATTGGGATACGTATCGCAATATATTCATTCTGTATTGCAATATATAGTGATACACTCTTGGCGTATTGTGACACCCCTAGTGGTTGCCGAGAAAACACTCGGGGTACATGGGCCACATTGAGTTGTCTCCCTTAAGCTCTTTCTCTGTTTAGTGGCATATTTACAATCAAAAGTCATCCATTCCCAATCATTTTGATTATGTTTAACATTTCCAAATTTAAAACTAGTGTTGTATGAACTTGTCTTTCATCCATTGAAATTCTAAATGTTAGAAGTATTTTGACTTTAGATTACAATATACTGTATACTTGGAAAACATCCATCCAGTAAAAAATTAGTTGACACCCGATGGTAAAAAATTCAAACTAACTAACTGTCCCTTGAAACTTGTTGGTCAAACTGCTATACATGTAGTAATTATATATATTACAAGCTGTGTACTACAGTGTACTTATATTTCTGTAGTGATGCATTTGTTCTTATTATGGAGGGTGAAAAGGTAAAGTTGAACTTTACTTTAAGCTTTGTATATTTTATTGACTGAGTATGCCTTTTATCATCACTTCCTTACATAATGATGCATGAATCTATATATATTTCACAGTTTTTGCATTCAAGTAATTTCAAATTGATTAAAATCAAATTGTCAGTACTAATCTTTATTTCAACAAAGTGATTACTGTAAAAAATAATTCAACTTGCACATGGTTTTTGCTTGTCATTGTGTCGTGAGTCGAATGTGTGAATTATAAACATGTTAGGATATACATGTACAACACATATACACTAGGGGTATAATGTTCCTAAACTGATATTATTACTGTTATTGTTTATGTTTTTGTTGTTGTTATTGCTACTCTTGTTGCTATGTTTTTGGTGAAGACAAACTTTCATAATAAGTAGCTAGTATAGCAAATATATACACTATATACATTGTGTATATAAATTGTGAAAACTAATTATCTCCAGTTTGTTTTATTAATGTAGCTTTGTAGACGAAGACATTGTTATCAAGGACTTAATGTATTCATGAATGCGTAAATGTATAAACTATATCCGGTATATATTACCCTAGAGCTTTCACTGCGGGTGTATCTGTGTTTAGACATATAATCAATATGAAGTACAAGTTTACATGTATATGTAGTGGAGGTTTCATTTTCATATATACAATACATGGAAGTTGTATATACAATATGTTCCACATTATAAATTACACATGAATGGGGAAAATGTGGAATTTAAATGATTACTTGTGTGTGCCTTAATCTATATTTACTCATGTATACAGTGTTTTTCAAAGTCCCTCTAATTGTGCAGACGCATCATTTTTTGCACCTCAGACAGAGGTATCCCATGTCGAACCCCATATGCTAGATATTTTGATCTCGTGAGATCTGTCTGGTACCTTTATGTGACATTTCGCAGAATTTTTTACAATGCAATGTATTCATCCGTGCGTAAACCTCTTGAAATTGATAATCTGCATTATTAGTATTCTGTTTTGTCGTTGTATTGTTTTGATGTTGTTAGATATCTGATGTTGTTGATAAATATATTCTACACTGTAAAATAAGTTGTCTTCTTTGTAAGGACGTGTAGCGGCTATATTTATTTGATGCCCCAGCCAGAAAACTTGTAGTCTTAAGCAAAATTTAACATTTATTTCGAACTAAAAGGTGCAGGAAACAAAATCAATTACCTGTAACAGAGCGAGATCGGGTTATCTCAGTCTCGGGCTAAGATTATGTAACATCCAAACCTCGGCTTACGCCTTGGTTGGGTATATACTACAGAATCTCAGCCCTCGACTAAGATGACTCAATCTCGCTCAGTCACAAGTACATGTAATAGATTTTATTATTGTTGTCTGATATAAGCACTGCAAAGAATCTATTGTCATCGAACTTCTCAATTGTCTACGTTCAATAATTAATTTCTTTTTGCAAAAGTTATGCATGAAGTTATTTATAAAAAAGTAGCATTTTTGGTGTTTATTGTAATATTTCTAATATTCTTTTTGTTCTCTGATCCATAATGTCCAGATTTCCAGAAGGAGATAACATTACATTGAGAATATTGTTGAGTTAAAAAAAATCCAACTTTGAATTGGTTTGTGTTTGTTTCATTCTCTTGAAACAGTTTGCACATATCAGAATTACTTGTGCATATTATATTTTGTGGGATATGTAGGTCTTGGTGTTCACTTAAAGTAATCTATTTGTTATTTATTAGAGAGTCGAGAAACATTACATATATGATTACCATCAAAATGACAATTTCAGTTGTTTGTTGTTGATTTTATTGAAGCCTTATTGGCAAGGATTTAAATTTATCTTGTGGCTGTCATAACCCAGACATATGGCAAAATGACAAAGTTTAGTCTGTCGTGATATGGATTTCAAGGAAATATATACATATGTACATGTATTATGATATTTAATACAAACACCTCATTAGTCGAAAATATTTCGATGTTATCTATTTCGAGATGACGAGTTGTGTCCCTTGAAGTTGATATATTTACATTGTGAACCACTGTTTTCGTTTTTACTTTTTGGTAATTTTAGCAGGTGTTGATTTTCTGTACTTTGTCTGTGATAGTTTATTGTGTTCTATCTTACGTTTACTTTAATATTGACAAGACGTTTTATGTGATACACGTATTGACATTTATAGGACACACAACATTTATATTTATTTAAACGTATATCCCCGAAAAACACGTTAAATGTATCTACAGTGCAACACGATTTGTTTTTATAAAACCCGTAAATTTGCTCCACCGCTTTCATCCATAGTGAAATAGTTTACTCAGATAGTAATATTTATTTGTATCTTTCAGGCAAACAAATGTATGATTCCCGATTTCGACCGACCCATACACGTTTTGGCATATAGATCGCGGAGTACCGCTACCTTTTAATAGCAACTTTTTTATATCACGAGTATCGTAAACGTTTGCAGCCATGCTTTAATCATAAAAAATATTTTAGGTCAGAAAATGTGTCTACCTATCCACCCACATACAACAAAAAGCAAACATATTTTTGACGTTTTGACTATTTTAATACCATAAACATTTTTTCCCGAATTTCCAGACACGTTCTAGATTCTAAAATCTTACACAATTCAAATGTATGATGTGGAAGGTATGAACCTTGAGGTACAAATACTGACTTAAGATTTAGAATCTAGAACGTGTAGGCGGAAGGTTCCTATTTATGTTTGTGTTGTTATGTCATACAGACATACACAGACATGTTTCTCTGCTTTAGTCAACAGTTGGTATGTACCAGGGACCAGAACTTATACGATTGGCTTTATTTTGTGCGGTGTTGCAGTTATTGTTCTATTGTGACATTTAACGAATTATTAAGCTTTTTATTAGGTCACCTGAGCTTTAGCTCAAGTGACCTATTGCTATCCGTTTTCGTCCGTCGTCGTCCGTCGTCCGTTAACATTTTACATTTCAAACTTAAAGTCAAGTTCTGCTGGGCCGATTGAACTGAAAGTTGGTAGGAATGATCGCCTCATGGTCCTGACAAAGTGTTGTTATTTTTCGGGTCAATCAGAAATACAATTTGGCTGCCATGGCCGCTATTTTGCTACTAAGTTCTAATAGGCCGATCTCACTTAAAATTGGTCTAGGAATGATCAGCTCATGGTCCTGACAAAGTTAAGTTCACATTATTCTATTTTTTACTCAAATTGGTACATATTTCAACAACAAAAATAAATATTGTAGACTCAGGTGACCGTTTAGGCCCATGGGCCTCTTGTATGAATTGTTATCTGTTTGTTACTTTTTGAAGTTAATTGTTTGTTAGACATATCTTATCGAAGCAAATGAATAAAAATGAAGCATCTCATGAAGGTGGTTTTCTTGCTTGTTTTCCGGCTCACAGTTCTGAATGTTTACTAATTGAGGTAATATATTATGGCAAAAAGATTGCGGCTAAACATGTTTTTGAATAATACATGCACTTATCTGTCAAACACGCCATGGTTTGTCTTTCTGTTTGATTTTAAAAGCTTTGAAAAATGACATTTCAGTTGATGTTTCTCGACATGCATGTATGCTTAATGAAAAAGTGTGTCTTGAAGATTGCTCCCATCTGTCCATCCCCAATACTTTTTGGACTTCTGTTTAGTTCCATTGTTCCAATAAAAATGTCTTAGAAAAATAATTTCGCTTAAATCTTTTAGTTGGACTTTATTTCCATCAAAGCTGCAGCTTCATTTGAATTTTCTAATAAATACCGATTTACCAAAGATACCGATTTCTTAGAATGACATCATCGGCTGAGAGAAGATTCCTATGTGGGGCGACTGTCCTGAAATTGGGTCAAACAATTCTGTCCAACAAAGGGTCTTAGATTTTCCGGTGTTCAACGAAAAACACGTCGCATCGACTGTACGAGATAATGTATTGATGGACCCTTAAGTACGATATATGGCTTTCGAATCCATTGAATTGAACATGCGTTTGTGTTCCATAAAATATGAAAGTTGTCAATACCAAACTATTCAAATAACTTCATTCATCATGTCTATCAGTCATTAAATGTAAGTACCTGTATGCATAACTGGCAAACATAAATATCGCTGTTAGATTTATTTTAGCGTCATATGAGCTTGATTAACTCGAAAGTATCTTCTACATGTATATGACACAAGTTTACAAAATTCTCTCCTGGTATTGTATCTGT